TCGCCCTTCTTTAGAAAAGCCAACTTCAATCTGTGCTGCAAGTGAAAACATTCTGTAGTGTGCAGACGATGCCCAGAGAGGAATTATACAAGTGACATTACACTACAATGGAGTTGGCATTGCTGGTACCGGAGTTAGACTCGTGACCTACCCGACTGGCATTTTGAACATCATATCTATGGAAGTTCTCAAACAAAGAGCTTACTTTGCAGCTGTCGGTCTAGACGGTGGCCTTTACTTTTGCGACCTTTCACACTTTGAAGTTGACCAACTTCTAAAGAACAACTCGGAGTCTTGTAGAGAAATCAAAAGACTTTGCGAATTTGAAGACGGCTAGGGTTCACTGACTCGGGGGATCGAAATGTAAAGTTCTTCAGTCGTTCTGAGAAAAACGTTAAAACCTTGATGGGCTTTGGTCAGGAAGGAGCAAGTGAAGGAACGAATGAAAAGTGTTCTTTTACGCAAGTTCATGGCATCTGATCTATGGAGAAGACTCTATTCATAACGGATGTGGCTACAGGTTGCATTAGACTAGCGTCGGGACTCAGTGGTACTGTGTCGTAATGTGTCGTTGTTAGAAGTCTTAGAAGTGGAACTGCGTCGTTCTTGGAAGTCTCTATGACAGTTTTGGAATCGGAGCCCAAAGCATAGAGAACGCATAATTGTCTCTTCAAAATGCCGTAGACAAAGTATCAGATGTAAATGACAACATCACAAAACCGTTTCTGAGGTGAAACAAGGGCACAGTTTAAAGGAAACCACAGCAACCAACGGCACCGAAGGAACCGTGTGTCTCATAAAACTCTAGTCTCACTTAAACTTCTCGAAGAAGGAATGCGCCGCCTGCATAACAGCATAGCTTCAATTAACAACGACTATCTCCAAGATATTGGAATTAGGCACATTACTCACAACAGTTTCGGAGAATCTACTTGCAGTTTCACATTTTAAGCACGAGACCTTCACCGCATTACAGTATTCCCAAGACTCTGGACTAATTACCAAGGAGTCGTTGAAGAGAGTAACGAAATGGGCAGCAAAGTATTGTACTCATGAAAAATCCTACCATCCTATCCCTCAGACCAGCACGGAGTTTGCAAATGTTAACTTTATGCGACCTCTACCTTCAGTAGAGATCGACCCCGAAATTGAAAATGCTATGAAAGAATTTGTGGAAAAGTATCGTCCGATAAGGCAAAGGACAGTTCGGGAGAAAACTACCAAGGACAAGGCAGGGGCTTTACCACCGGCCGTCTACACGAAGCAACAAGATTCCACCAAAGTGGACTTGTTGGCGGGACTAGGTAACGATTTTAATTCGGGAGATCAGTGTAAGGTTTAGCAGCGACGAAGGAACTGTTCAAGCTACTTCAAAAGGTTGGAATGTTGACGACTGTCTCGTTGAAGTGGCAGTTGCTGAGGTGCGAACACACGCAGACAAATATGACTCGGACTCAGAAAATGACTTTTCTCACCAAGAGGATGAAGATATTACCCCAATTACGGTTTCTAGATCTGGGCGGCCAGTTCGCGCTTATTTTCGCCTGGATTTCAAAGGCACGTTTTCTCTAATAACCTAGTTGAAAAGTAGACAAAATCACGTTCCTTTCTGATCATTTCATCGGAGCTATCCGTAATCGAAGCTTTTTAGAACAAAACATAAATCAAATATATTGTGCTAGAAGACTTTTCACAAGTTTGTTTTCTTTCTGATGATCTTCTTTCCAACGTTTTGACCCGTTAAGTGGTTACAAAGGAATGTTGCGCACGGAAAAACAGAAGTTTGTCTTCAGAAGAGTTGTAACTGACGAAACAATGACTAAAATTTATTTGAAATATTTTATTTCATTCCAGAACTGAGAAAAAGCAGTTCTTATTGTATCAGTTTTCGACTTAATTTTCAAGATTACGCGGTTATATGTGTGTTAATATGCGCTTTTTATGTTTGTGTTCAGAAGAATCGTATCTGACTTAAACAGTGACTGAAAGTCATTTGAAAGATCTTATTTTATTCCAGAACTAAGAAAAAGCATTTCTTATTGTATCAGTTTTCGACTAAATTTTCGAGTTTACGCTTTATGTGCTTTTCAGCCAAAATTATAGGGTCGGAAAGTAGTAATTAACTTGCCAAGTTAATCATTAACAGTCATTTAACTGACAACTGACAAATGGCCGAAAATTTAACTGACAACTGATAAATGGCCGAAATTTTAACTGACAACTGACATTCGTACCCCCCCATCCAGACCCTCCTAGTTATGAAAGAATTCGGACGCAATGTGTATGGCTCTGTCATCCGGCGGAGCTCTGTTTCATAAACAACCTGACATCTTAACAAAAGTACTATTTTAATGTCAGTTTAAGACAAAACTTAACGTAAGGGGCTGCAGGCTACTTTTAAACGTGCTTACGCCACCATATTTATAACGATGTTGCTGGACTACAATATATTCGACGGATTGCGAACCTTTTAGTTCGAACTTTAGGTCAGTTCTATGTTTAGTTTAGTTTATTTAGCTTCGCCAACCGGTAGGGACACCGCAACAGCTTGCGCCAATTACTGCGGGCCCAGAAAACCCACCCATCCCACCCCAGGGAGGACATCCATCACAAAGTAATCTCATGCGTAGGAAATTAACGTCTCCTACCCCCAACCATGCAGGAGACGGGACCTCCATTTATTCGTCCCTATCCGAGAAGACTAGAATATCTAACCATTTCTTGATGTTATAGAAAGGTAGCAAATTCTTCTCAGTTATTTTAAGACCTTGAGTTGGTCCGGCCGGGACTCGAACCCTCGACCTCCCGCTCAACAGTCCAGCGCACTATGCATTGGGCTAACTGGGCGGCAGTTCTATGTTGGTTGGGTCCTAGATCGCTTCTGTCTTACACCCAAAGTCTTAGTAAAGATTTGGCCCCGCAAAGTTTAAAAAGGCAATTTACGGTTCAGACTGTAATTCCTAGACTGTTACACACCAAGTGATGAGGTGTTAGCGCATGCCAAATGGTTACAATTCTTAGCTCCTGAATGTTTATAAGGAGCTGCATATTAAGAACAACGTGAGGAAAACTTACTTTTGAGGTACGACCTCAAGTCATTACTTAAATAGATGAGTGCTTACTATTCACCTCTCCTTAGCTCAGTGGTGGAACCAGGGGGAGGGTCCGGGGGGTCCGGACCCCCCCTAACAGACCTGACGCTTACAACTTTGAAATTGAAATTCTTACATCGACAGGATCGTGTATCACTTTTTAACTGGCTGATCTATTTTTTTTCAATGAATCCAAGTTAACGGTAAGCGACCAAGGAACTATAACGTGCAACCGCGACTGGTGGGAGGGGGTGTGGGGGAGAAGTAATTTGCCTCAAATGAGTCCAACAGTCCTTTCTGAACCAAAGTTTGGACCCCCCCAATCAAAAATTATTGGATCCGCCCCTGTAGCTTGTTGATTATTTTAGTTTTAGTCGACAAGTATTTTGTCACTTATTACCCTAAGGGTTTCCTTTATATTTCACGACCACATCGGTCAGCTTTGCTATAATATTTTAATCGTGTATGACCAGACAGCTATATAGCAGCTACATAATAATTTGGATCTATCAACAAAGTTGAAATGGTAAATTGGCCACCGTAACGATTACAAAAGCTGACGTTTCGAGCGTTAGCCCTTCTTCGGAGCGAATAGAGGAATGATGAGTTGTGTGTGCTTTTAAAGGCAGAAAATGGAGATACGTTATTCGTGGGAACATGGCAACGAGAAAAACAAGAATAAAGATAAGAACAAATTAGTGGAATGAAATTTTTCTCGTTGCCATGTTCCCATCAATAACGTAGCTCCATTTTCTGCCTTTAAAAGCACACACAACCCACAATTCCTCTATTCGCTCCGACGAAGGGCTAACGCTCGAAACGTCAGCTTTTGTAATCGTTACTGTGACCAATTTACCATTTCAACTTTGTTGATATATCCAAATTATTTCGCTCCTCCCACCGACGCAGCCCCAAACAGTTTCTTTCGAAACTATCAGCCTTTATTCATTTAGATAGCAGCTACTATTGTTATTGTCTCGTATCAGCTACTATTGATATTGTATCTAAGTTTTACACCTATTAGCAGCGGTGAGTGAATAATGATCTTAAGCGTGAAATTGCGTTCGAAATTACATGATTACTTTATCACTCATGCAAATCACAAAATCAAAAACTTAAACATTCTTAAATTCTCATTGACTGTTTCCTTAACTCCTTTGGTTTTTTTACTACAATTTGTTTTTGCTATGATTCTCAAAAAATATCAAAATAAGAGAACAACGTAAACCGAATAAATGCCTCCAAAAATTCAGACGTTCTATGTTCTTAACCTTATATTCCATATTTCCCAAAGAAAAAGGCGATAAATCCGATATACATGAGGGGAAACAAAATGCGGGAGGACATCTCGATGAAAAAACTGAGATCGGTCTTTGCCAAATAGCTCTTGACGCTAGTATAGTAGCTGCGGATTTTCGATTTTGACAGCGCAGAACATCTGGGAAGTTCTTGCTTTTCATCCTCTGGTTCTTTCCAAGGGGCTTTCTTTCCTTGAGGTTCAGGTAATGGACGTGGTGGGTCTTCTGGCTATAAATATTATTGAAAATAAATATCGACTATAAAGTAAATTTCTATAGTTTGTTGCACAACTGCGTTAAGGCGTTTAATCGTACTATCGTCATTATGAAACGAATTTTCGAAAAAGCTGTGGATATTCAAATTAGTGGAAAAGTAAAGACAAAAAAAACAAAACAAAACAACAATAACAGATAACTGTGCAACCTTAGGCATTTAGCCTGGATGGACAGACAGGATGATTTAATTTTATGAGCTGAATTGACAATGTAACTGGCCACCTAAAGGGTTTCTAAAGCTGAAGTTTCTAGGGTTAGCCCCTCGTCAGGGCGAAGGGGACACAGAGGAAGACGACCAAAAAGACAAAAAGCAATGAAGGACAGCCTCTAAGATCGTGCAGACAGCAAGGAAGAGGTTTCGGGGGTAAGCAGCTAGTCTATCCCCAAGACGTGCAAATGTACATTCCATGCGTCAGACGAATTGACAAATGACCAGACAAACGGTGCAACTATATATAAATAATAAGATCTATAAAAACCTGTACACGACAAACCAAAACTCAAACCGATGGACTCGTAGGCACAAGTATCAAAAGTGAATTTTTCCTCACCTCAGCAGGTACTGTCGGGTTAATATATGAGCCATTTATGTGCACAGTGCCTGCCTTACAGACCTGAAAATGAGAAACGAATCGAATTACAAATGATAGTTCATTGCACTGGAACGGAAACGGCAAACAAAAAAACATTGTTTAGACAAAACAAATATCTTTTGATTAAAATAAATAATTGAAGATAGTACAGGATGTTTGTGTAGGGTCATGATGGGCCAAGGAGTGTCAGGAATACAGGTTGGCACAAAATCCTACACCCAATTTCAACTTAAAAAAAGAAATATTCCTACTAACTTCCTCAACTTTGGCAGTGCGTTTACGGAAAAACGTTCTTCCACCAGTCAGCGACTTTGTTTGGGTACTTTCCGCCATGAAAGACTTCTTTTTGTAATTGTACACGATGACACTTTCCAGCAAGGCCATAAAGGTGAAAGCGAACGAGACAATTAAAAACAGATCAGCGGCTTTTACGTAGCTGACACGTGGCATTGAGTCGTTGGTGTATTGCAGAAGGAAGACTTCCGTCAGTAGCGTGGTAATGCCTAGGGCACCGCGGTCACCGATCTCGTTTCGATCCATCCAGAATGGCAGCCACGATACAACCGTACAAAGAATGCAGGGAAAGAATATGCGTATGACATAATGGCCAATCCTTCTTCGCACGTGAAAGTTGACGTCAAGATAATCGAACCAACCTGAACAATTGTCAAGAATAAATAATGATAACAGGACCGAGAGGAGTCTGTGGAATCTGGGGACTAGTAGTCTAGACCGCAATGTTATTAACCTGCGGTGTGCGTTCGGCACATGCGCAGAAACAGTTAAAAAACATGTGCTCGAGTGCATGAGAGAACCGCCATGTCGAAACTTGTACTCGCTATGTACTCGTTGTGTTGTTTTACTAAGCGTGGCCGCCCCGTTTTATTCTGTCACTGTTAGAATTTTCTGATTAAGTATTCGTTGATTAAAGTCGATTGATTCAGTCTTGTGGTTTACACAGAGTCCTTTCCAATTTATTGTCTTACTAGCCTCCTTTGCAGCCTTTCTTTTTAAAGTGTCGCGCAAAGTTCCCCCAAGAAAACTCCCCAGGTGAGCGTTACATGAAATCCGAAGAAGAGCTGCCGGCGAGGGGAACTCAATATGGCGGTCATACGAGATGATATCAAACTGGGACGTCCGCCAGATAGGAATTGGATTGGGTTGTTACGAGTACGATACAGTCAGAATTGACGGCAGAAAACTAACAGTTATAAATTAATCGAATATTTAACAAAATATCAGAATTTTTTTCCATAAATTAGAACACGACAGTTGACCAATGACGGGTACTGACCAATTACACGGGCATGACGTGGAAACATATTTTATGCTGTCTAATGACAAGTATGACGAGTGCACTAGTCTACTAGTATTCAAATCGGGCTCCAGTATCGAGTCAAGTATAAAGTTTTAAACAATGATCATTAGGAAGAAAGATTGGAATATGTATTTCAATCTTTAGAACTTCTTGGTTTAAATGGAAAGAGGTTGCCCCTTTAGCTCACTATCTAATTCAAGGTTTCCCAGACAATGCGCTGATGGAAACCTAACTGTAATACCATTTTGGATGTAGAGTGGTATCGAGAGGAAAAGTGTATTTACCAAAAATTCAACATGACCAAGAACACAACATGAATAACTTGGGTTGAAACCAATACGCCCGACCCAGAGTATACCTATTTCGAGAGCGATGCAGCTATCGAAAAATGATATTATCTACTGTTTTATTGACGAAGGAAATAATTCTTACCTATCATGTATTTGACCTTGTCACTGGCAAGTGTTTGATTCATAACGTAGAATTCTGCCATGTCTGTACTGTAAAGCGATGCACCAATCCATTTGTATCGTATCTGAGTGATGTCAAAACCGTCTAAAACAAAGTGAGGTTTCATTATTTAATAAATTAATTGCATGGATACTTCTCCATGGTTTGTAGAGAGGTTTCCAGTACTGCCTAGACAAAAAAAGAATGTTCTTAAAGATGTAAATGAAGATGGCAAATTCCACATAGGCATTACATATCGACATTCTATCATAGCATTATGCAGGAAGTTTGTCCCCATGGGCCAGTAGTAAACGGCCTATCATGCCACGAGTCGTGTATAACTCAGTTGTAGAACATCCGATGTACTAAATGGAGGGTCGTAACTTCGACTCCTATGGGAGAACTCGGAGTTCTTTTTCTGCAGGTTTGCCTATGTCATTCACTGAATAACATCTTTCCAGAATTTCCTGTTTGTTTCACCTGACTTGCTTTGTTTGATAATACTTCTAACCCGTGTTGATATGCCAATCATTTACAAAACAAACTTGTTCTTTTTACGTTTCATTGCCAGTTTGAGTACTTTTTGCATTTCTTAAGCTTTCTTTGGGTTTCCAAAATGGAGAAATGTTTACTTTCGACACTGTGTCTACCCGAGATATTTTAATTTCTGACATTTTCTGATGCACTGGCGAGTAATAAATGCAATGAAAGCTGGACATATATCTTTTTCTGCTTACAACTCAGTACTCTGAAGAAGAATAGCTGGACATCCATTGGGTAGTTTTTAAAATCCATCAATCCCATAGCATTCACTGTGACCCTGAAACAAGAAAGGAAGAATACAATGGTCGCCTCAGTCATCTATTTTCATCCTGATTGAAAATTAAGTTTTCATCGGTTAAGTCAATTCTTTTTAACAATTTCAAACTTTAAGTTGTACCTTACGGAATAAAACACATTTCCGTCTCCGAACACAATGACTGTTCTTGTGTCATCGTGGATGGTTGTTTTCTTCCCGTTCTCGATATACGTATCTGGAAACCACATCTTCCTGAGAATATCTCCTTGAAGGATTAATGTCCAATTCTTGTCACCGTACGCCAATCTTGGATCCTTCCAGAACTGGCGCATGTAGATGTCTCCCTTAAATTCCTGTGGTCAGAAAGTAAATAGTGGAAGAGTATTGTTGTATGCCTTAACTATTGGTTGTATTGTTTGGAAACATTATAACTCTTCTGGGTGGTTCAGTGTGGCATCCGCCTGAGCCTCCTCGTGTGTTAAATGAGAATTTGCTTGGTTTAGTAGTCTGCTTTTAATCAATTTCCTGCTAGCATAATTTCGCTGGTACTCAATCAAATACCTGAATGAGAGATCGAGGCACTGTGGGTGTGAAGTGTCTTTTGCCTAAGAACACAAAACAGTGTCCCCAGGCAGGGCTCTGGCCCGGACCACTCGATCTGGAGTTGAGCGCTTTACTGATGAGGCCACCGCGCACCCCTGTACTATAGTACCTTATAATCGCCCGTCATTGAAATCATCGAGTGAATGTCTCTGTTGGCTACAATACTATGCAATCTAGTTACCATATTTTCCTCTGTCACATGGCTTATGGAAAGGAAGCCCAGCGACACGTAGATGTAAACAGGATCTCCTAAAAACAACATCAAAAACAGTGTCATCTTTATTTAGCAGTTTCAAGAGAGGCGAGAGATTTGACAAGCCGATTTTACAAGTGTTCCACACCGATCGACGTTAAACTTTGACTTTACGTTTGCATGAGTTCCTGTATTTGGCCTTAAGTTACGAAAGCATCAAACATGTATAAACCTCTCGACTGTATGGAATATTGCCCCTTTAAAATTAATTTCTGATTTTGAGGGAGAAATGATGATAACAACAGGCATTAAAAGATTATTTTGTCTCTCTCTGGGCCCACATCTTTAAAATAGAACTGTAAACGTAATTAACTGTAATTGCCAATACTTGCTCATTCTCGATGATATGTCTGTTTTCATCTTTTGAATGGTACAAGTTTTAGCAATGCGCGTGTAAGAAGCGAACCTCTATCGGTTGAAATATTAGAGCAAATGGATGGTTTGGTTTAGGAGAGTATTTTTTTTTAAATATTTTTTTCTTGCTACATTTTCGACTACTGTAATCCTCTTCTTTATCAACAGGGAGAAGTTATTTCTCGATCCTCAGAGAAGTAATCTTACCTCCATACATGGGCCTGAGTCTCTTGTCGTAGTTGACAAACATTTTGTCCAAAATGGCTGTTGCATTGGGAGGTTCAGTCAGAGGTGGAAGAGACCCATCTGCTATATCAACCTCTACAGCTCTGTAAACAGGGTGGTATTAAAAAAAATATATATATATATATATCTGGATTAGCCTTCAGGCGTTGTGCTATTTTCAAGCAACTTCGATAAGAAGATCATCGGAATATGGACTTTAAAATTAGAGATCATTTTTCCATTTTGGTACCGTGAACTTCAACTTATTCTAGGTTTAGTAACAGACAATTTGGGGCATGCAAGAGACGATCAAACTAGGAGAGTGAATTCCCACGGAGGCATCATCGCAAATGTAGTCATTCTGACTTTTTTTGTTATTTTTTCTTCTCTCATTTTGTACTCAAGTGTTCTGGCTCCTAGAGTTATGTAACCTTTGTGCGTGTGCTGCCTAAACGATTCTCATGGGAAAAAAGATCGACACCTTGTGGAATGTCGACTTGGGCAAAAGTTATCGATCCTCTAAACAATACCAAAAATGGGGGTTATCGTACGATGGATTATCTTAAAAGTAAGCTCAGACCACTTTAATTGTTCATCGTATCAAAGGAGTCCTTTTCTCTACAAATTTCTTAATGTTTTACCTCCCGCGGTTAATGTTACACGATGTAGCAAGTAAGAGCTATTTTATAGGAAAGATGCCAGAAGCACGCAATCGATGAATATCCTCTTTTTGAAAATAATTCACAGCGGGGTCTGTGTATCAGGTAATGTCAAACTTGACGCTTTCGAGAATTCTCTGTTCAGTTATCCATTAATGTTAGTCTTCATTTCTTTGCGTTGCTTTTCATTGAGTCAAGCTCGTCATTTATCATTTTGCCTAAACAGCCACAAACAGGAAAAAATCAAGTTGATACCTCATAAGCTTCACAAAAGAAACGCTATGATGGCATACTTAAAACAATGCTGACGCCAAAAGATTAATAGCTGTCTAGTCTTAAATAACCCGTCGTATGCGGTTAAGCTCTTTGCTCAATGCTGGAATTAGTGATCTGATTCATGTTTCATTTGAAGGACCACGATATAAGAAGGTCTAGGCTCTCTGAAACCACCGTGAAAGCTTTTTAGTTGATATTATTTTTTTTTAACACCAGACTAGTCTGATAGCCCTTATTTGTCGATGCTGGACTTAATGCTCTATTCTTGAGAGAGACCAGCAGCGTTAGGGTTAACTTCATTTATTTCAGCAATCGATTTTACCATAACCTATGTGCAGTGGCGAATATGGCTGTTTGGAATAATTACCCTTCATGAAAAGCCATGACTAAAATCCATTGCACTTATGAATGCGTATTTGTAACAACAGGGGTTAGCTAAGGAAATTCTATATAAGACGGTTATAGTCATAATAACAGTGTGGTTGATGCGAAGTTGGCATGATAAAAACAAAAAAAAATGTTGTTCATCATCCGTGCATAATTTAACATTTCAAAAGCAATTTCTTTGTGGATATTTAGATGTTCTGAAACAAAAGGTATCTGTCGAAGAATGAACCTTGGTCGATACTGCTTTAAGTTAAAGAAAATGATTGAAAGCTTTTTGTAGTTTTGCGTACTTCTGTGAGGAAAAAATTTCAAGTGACTTCCCCATTTTGTGCGTTAAACAGTTTGATAAAATGAAATATGCTATATACTATTGAGACTCCCACTGAGATTTAAATTGTGCTTGTCCGCTGAAAGTTTCATTTTATTAATTGCATCAAGTTGAGGTTAGATTACATGCGACTAATAACAAATAAAGTCGGCGGTGAGCTACGGCTTTTTTTAGCCCTAAAAATAGGTGTGACTCTCAAGATTAGCGAGATGTTTTCAAAACAACATGAAATTAAATCGGAAAGAATTATTTTACAGTGTTATTCACCATTTGACATAGGTGTCGGTTTTTCCCAGACTGTCTGCTCAGGAAATCTGATTTTATTTCAATTTTTATGTAGATCGTAATTAAAGCAAAGACTCCTATATACAACGAAAAAAAAAAAGACATTCACGATCTAGAACGGGACTTGTGTTTCAAATTCATGCTCACGTAATTTCGCAGATCGAATGTAATTAATATGGTAATTAGCACCCGACCTCAACAATTTTTGCGGGAAACCGAATAACAATGAGATTGCTAAAGTCTGCTTATTCTCGGTCTTAAATATTTATGACTTTAAGGTAAACAGTTAATTTTCATTTAGGCTGTTTAAAACCAAAACCGTCAATATCGACTAGTTTACGTCATAGGGAAAAAAGTGGTACTTTGGCGTACATTCCTTAATTGCACTTTGAGATACAAGGTAACGTCTGTAACAGATTGCATTTGGAAAAATCATTAACTTTATGTTACGTACTCTTTCTTCCTCGTTTAGTTAATATAACTGTCGTTATCAAGCTAGTGGGCAACACGATAGCGAAATTCATCTTAATGTTCTTATTTTAAGGCCTCGAATAAGTGTGAAAATGTCCCAGCACTCTGTAGTCACATAATGTCTTCCTTTGGAAATAGAAGATCAATTAAGATGCTTAATCACCCTTCCGGACAGGAAATGTACTAAAAAGCTCAGAACCGTTTGCCTCTCTGGAAGACTATGCCTTGCACAAAAGTCAAATCTTTTCAACTTCCTTAGTGTTACATTCAGTCTTATTCATAGTTCGCGTTATGGAGCAATGATAAATTTAAGAGAGGATACGGTAATATTGTAAGTTAACAATTCCGGAGAAATTACCATTGACATAAAAAAAACTCTAAAATGCATAGATCGAATTTGTTTGTGAAGTCACCTTCGTAATACACCGCACCTTCCTAACTTCTTTAATATTCACTACTGTAGTAAAATATTGGTCAGACTTGATGATGAGTTTTTGGGTCTGTTGCTGCCAAATAGCTGAGTAGCTGGTTTGCTGTTGGCAAATGAAATCTCTCCAATTGAACTGAATTTTTCGTATATCTATTACTCGGTTTGTTTATCAGTCCAAATTTTATACAGTGTGATGCAAATCAGAGTCGTCTTACTGTATGCCTTTAATCATGGGAAGTTTAAAGTTTTTATTGTTCATTGTATAGACGAAATATGTATCCTCGATCCTAACATGATGGCAAAGAGGAAAAGATCAAGTTAAATTTACAACTTCTAAAAATATAAAATGGGGGAAGGAATTTCTCCCCAAGGTATTTAGTCAATGCAACACTTGTTTATCGTTTACATCAACTGAATCAACAGTAACTATGTCTTGTAACCTTACCGTTTGGAATCATCTGTTTTTGTAGCGTTGACTGGACAGATATTCGCCAAAACCATAAAACTACGCAGGAGGACACCAAACGCCCTGATATAGAATTTGAACATCATCCGAGTAGAAGAATTAAAAACCTTGCTTTGAGCGAGTAGCTGAAATAGTTATGTCTGGATCGTTATGTTAAAACAAAACAAGTGATTCCAGCTTTTAAATAATGCATCAGTATTATCCGCAACCTATTTTGAGGTTTTTTGACTAGGCATGAAAATTCATGTTGAGTCTCTGTTGTGCATTTTGCCTTCTCAACGGCCTTTCCGAGATTTCTCGGTGGTATGGTTACTTATGTCAAGTTTTACTGAAAGTGTTGATGGCAAATTTACAATCAAGTGCTTTGGAGCGAACTTATCTGACCAAAATGTGTCATTTGGGCTACATTAAGGCTTCAAACACGGAATATATGAATTTTTAAAACAATGATGAGTTTTCGCTTCCTTTTTTTTAATGTGTTTGAATATGAGCACCTGATGAACATAACATCTTCCAAGGAGTGAAGCTTCTAGGCTTTTTTAATTAATTTATTTCTATATCTTTTTGTAAGAACCACACGGAGAACACATTTCCATTTGTTCCGACTCAAATGTATTTGAGTCGGAAAAGGCGAAATAAAAGAGAATTTCGAATGATTTGGGATGTAAATTATATGCAAGATCTGTGGGGTAAATTAGAAATTACATTTAGAAAGGTACATGAGCAAGAAAGCATTTTATGTCTGGTGTGAAAGTAAATATTGGAAGCAGTCTTCAGAAAAACAAAAATTAAGAATTTAACTGCAAGTGGTGAGTCTCATCCTCGATTTGTAATTTATGTAACTCGAAGATACTAGCTTATCTTTTAGCTACTCCAAATTCGAGATTAATTAAAGTATATGTATGTATGTATGTATGTCCTCAGAATAGCTTGGAGTAATTTGATGGCCTTGCAAAAAATGCCCCCACTAATTATGTCACTAGACAATTAAATGTCACCAAGCGGTAATTCTCCATGAGAAAAAAAAATAAAATTAGTATTCTATACATGTAGCTGCCCTAATGAAGCAACAGAACTAATGTTATCTTCAAGCTAGGAAAACTAGGTAAGCCATCATCAATAACATTTCATAACGTAAAGTTTCCTATTTCCTTCCTATTCCCCGTAGGCTGAGCGACGAAACATTTTAGTGAAAAATCTTTAATAGCTCGACCTAACACACGTCAAAGCTTGCTTAAACAAACGAGCGGTACACATGTTTTCTAGATTGAAATGATGGTTTTAGCCTTTTTTGATGCTGAACGTATACATGTGTATACCTAAATTTATTAACACTCTCGATATGACGCAAAAAAAAGATAAGATAGGCAAGATAAGGCACTATTGCACGTTTGTCTTTTGTTTTTAGGCCAATTTCCAACATTTAAATTACTAAACTAGTTAAAATTGCAAGTCTGCGTCCAACCCCATCTGCAAAGGATACGAGTTGATTCGAGCAAAGTACTTAATGGGATGAGTTGTATCAGTGTTGTAACAATTTTCTTGGCAAATGTAAAGCTTCCCCCTCAGAGGCAAATTAATCCGTATTGAGTAAGGCACTCCTTACTATGAGATTACTTGATCTGGTTTGAGGTTAGACCATTGGAGGCTTTTAACATGTAATGCATATTTTCAAATGTAACCAGAGAGCTGAAAGATCTGTCGATTTTAGAGGAGTATGGATAAAAGCCTAACAAAAACTCATTACATTAGTTTTAATGGCACCCAAGTATTCACGAAGTCAAGCTCGAATCGGAACCCCTCGGTGTACAAACCAATTAAAATTGAAAATTTTCAACGATTACATTGAAAAAAATGTTACCCTTTTTTCAAATCTTTGTTTGGCCGATCATTTGAAACGTATCACAAGAAAAGAAAATATCCTATGATTAAATTTTTATCAGAATGCTGGATGATGAGTATGCAAATAACGGCTTAATTTCGATTGTTTCTCTCACATGTAATTCTTATTGAATTAAATCTCTGACGTAATGAGAGCTGTCGAGTTGTGAATATGTTTGGCTGATGTTTCACCCAGAATCACGGTATGCTACAGCATGATTCATGTCCATCACGCGCAAGGGACCTGCAGTGGGACAAGGGACGTGGATCGACATATTAGTTAACCGAAAGAGACGTGATGACAAGGCACTTGCGTGAATATTCGCAAAGAAAAACATCTTTTTAACTGCTCAGTAAATGAATCAACTCAATTGCATTGACAAATATTGGGAAAACACGAATAAATACGACCAAAGTAATAAAAATCCATGCTAATTGTCACAATTCTCAAACGATTCTGATTCATCCACAGCTCGTTAATTCGACGGACCAATAGACCTCTCTACCTTATATTTTTTTCCCATGTGATTTGATGAAACTTTAGAGGAAAGCTCCTCTCAAATGTTATCATCCTATTACGTGCATATGTACTCGTTAATTACAATAGACAGGGGTGGGGGTCCCCCGAGTCTTTAGTTGGAAAAACAAAGCATGCAAACTATAGAGGTCCATTATCACATCTAAAAGTTCATAAGACGTCCTATTATCATCATCAGAGTTTCGAATAGAAAAATTGTATTAATCTAGGATTTTCATTGAAGAGCAGTATACTCCTTTGATAACTGCTCCTTAACTTCTAGTAAGTAGCAGTTCTACTTTGTCTATAATGCAGCGTTTTATCCACTCGTGTCTTTTTGTGAGATAGTTACGCCGGCTTCTAACACTAATAAAATAATAATTCATAAAAAAGAGATTTATTTCCGAAAAAACGCATAAAATTCGGTGCTTATAACGTTGCATGTTCATGGTTTTGCAACTTCGTTAGCTTTTAGTTTTCATTAAAACCATTAAGCATCATCATGAAGCCAAAGATATTAACCTTTTAACAAACCATTGATTACATTCCGTGTTCGGGGTGTCATAGCTGCTATGCTCTTTGTTTATCCGATCCAAGCAAAATTCACTATCTGACTTACTAAATTGTATTTGCAAATTCCTCCACGAGTTGGTGTACGCAAATAATGAATAAGAATATTTGGCTCGTGGTCAGGATCGGGAGCCAAATATGGGCGGGGAAAGTTGAGCCCTTGGGCTAAAGTAGTCAATTAATTTTCTTTCATGTGTCCACCAAACCTTAAAATTTTTGAAAATTGAAAATTTAGAACTAATTGGGAGGCCACTGAATTGATTTCAAGGGCGACCGCTGGATAACAACGAAAAATATTACGCTCTAAAAAGTGTCATTTATTTCTTCGAGTCAAAAAAAAGAAACTCAAAATTATTAGAAAAAAAAACTTATTGTCTTATCTTGATTTCATTGAAAGTTAAAGCCTATTTGAATTCCCGCGTCGAGCCCTGCATGTGGGGATTGGGCAGTTTTTCATTCGGACCAGCTCACGACGATCCAGCCTGCCCCACACACGTCAGCTTTCAACATTCTTTCTATGCAATTGGATGAGCGGGATAATACGGGTCAAATAAAATGTTGGAAAACAAAAGAATTCAAGACAGATCTTCGACTTGTAAATAATTAGAATTCGAATTTCATTTGCAGAATAAAATGTTCAAACATATTGCATGGAGGTGAACGCAAATATAAAAGGGATTTTACATCCTCATTGTAACGTTATTATACAGGCACTGCATTTATTATAGAACCAAATTTGATTTCAAAGTGACTTTCAAAATATTTTGAGTTCCCTTATTGTGTCAGTAGGGGGTCATGATTTGATGAACTCCGAGCCAAATAATTTTCTGTCTTACCAAACCAAAAAATTCGAAAAAATATCATTTATTTTCTCCACTCTTTTTTATTTAAAGTTAAAGCCTACGATTTTGATTTCTAGTTCCTTGCAGAATGCAAATGCAGGGCCGAACGGCTGTTTCGTGGAGCGGCCCACGTCAAACCGTCTGCCTCCACACACTTTAGCTTTCCGTCATAGTTTTTCTAGAAATGTGCGAACAGGGCCATACGATAATGTACTAATCTGATAGATAAGGAAATAAAAATAACAGATTTTCAAGCTATCAATAATCTGTAGATAAATCATGGATATATTGAGATGATAGCAGTTTTTTTTCTATGTTTTGTCTTGGTCGAAATTACATTCAGATTTGTTCAAAAAATAAAAAATTTATGAAATAGATTCATCCATCTCATGGGAAATAGTAAATGTAATTGTAAGTTTAAATTGTCATTACGTTCTATATACGACAGATTCTCTATCATGCATTTTACCGTGTTTGATTGACATCCTGATCAAGACATCTGGCATGGCGCGGACTAAACACACTCCACCAAGCCAAAATTGAAATAGTTGCGTGCAAACAGGGAGGAAAAACCATTTCCTTCGTGCGTGGAGTTATGCGTAGCTTCGTAATTGTTAATGTCGCTAAAATATCTATATTGGGGAAACTTCTGATAGGGAATCGGCACTTGAGAGAGCAAACATAGGGAACGGTTAACGAATATTGTTGACATGCGTCAAGGCTTCCTGTTTATCGACAGAAAAGTTAGAATAGCCCCATTGGGTCTCGATGATGTCCTACAGCTTCCAAACAACAGCTGTTAAGTGTCTTTTATAAACAATATGGAAATATTAGCTCAAGGGAAGTTTATAACTTAGTGGAAGGGATTCCAGATGACGTGATCTATTATGGAAATTCTCGCTGGATTGAGAGCAGAATTTTGACTTCAAATTTAAACTCGTAAAGTCATTTTATTTCTTTTTATCTTTTGTTTCTTTTCAATAAATATTCTCCCCGGATATATATCAGCCCTTTGTGCGAAAAATTAATTTACAGAAAGTAGCAATACAGTTAAACTCAATTGATAGTAAATCTTCAACCCTTAAAATCGCTAGTTTGCTTTATACCCGCTGCGTTCAGCTCCCGCTCAATAATCTCAGTTATAATCGGTCGTGTCTGACAATGATTTTCATACCCTAAGTCTAATTAATTTTGTAGTTGTGTGAAAGTATCAAAGTTCGGGACATTTTTCATGCTAACGAAACTGAGGGAGACCAAATAGTCATGACCATTGTAGGCGCAAGTGTTGATGAATGACCGTTTGATCTCGCTAAGGGCGTTTTTAGATAGAAACCAACAAAGCTCTTCTAGTTAGTTGCGCCGACAAGTCTTTGGAAACGAACAGAAACGACAAGATGTGAGGCCAACACCCAGTTGTTTAGTTACAATAACAAGGTTCCGGCGTCGTGCGGTGATGTAAGGCATCAACAAAGTTTTGATCTTTTGTTAACAGTAAGGAAATCCTACGCAGCCTTACAGTAGTTTAAAATTAGCTTCTTGGACAAAAAAAAAATCCCCATTGTATTACTTTACCTGCCATCTTCATAAGGAATCTAAAATACAGTTTTGAGTTTGCAGAGATTTGGAGGAGATTCATTTTTTTTTTACAGTCTAGCAAAATTCTGGTTATTCCTGCAGTCAGGGAATTTTTTTAGATCCAGCGGGCAAGGCGGCACTTAATTGACCAGAGAGGACTTAAAAAAGAATTGGAATCTTTCTTTTTACGGAAAAATCAAAATAGCATTTTGAATTTCGATCATATGATATGAACAAAGGATAAGGCCTCGCCCTGCTAACATACTATCCCCAGTTCTCTAAGAGATGGCTGTAAGTAGACTAGAACAAAAAATATTTTTCAGAATTTCTCCGTCTGCGTTACACCGAAACAAATTTTTGTATAGGAAGCCTTTGATTATTCGTGGAATGACTACAAGGCGCCCATTGGTATAAAATGTCATAACATCATGACAATCTTTCTTTTTACGGAAAAATCAAAATAGCATTTTGAATTTCGATCATAAATATATCTTTGCAGTGTATATGTTGTAATCATTTTTATATTTCGATTTTGGCTCAAATTTTTATATTAATTGTATTTTTATATAATACACATCTAGTATTTAGGACCTCTATGTAAACCACTATTGTGATGGAGCTTCCAAATAAGAGATTTTTATTATTATCATTAACATGTCATCACAGTTCACTTTATCCAACGAGAAAATGAACCCGTTTGTCGAGATAACAGAGGTTCCACATGACACGTACTGCTAAGTTATACAGGAATGACTCCTATCGCCTAAACGTTTTAATTATATATATATTTAACAATTATTTCTCGAGCGCGCGTTGGACATGAGATGATAGATAGCCAACGAGGCACGTAGCGCCGAGTTGGCTATAATCATCTCATATCCAACCAGCGCGAGTGGAATAATTGTCTTATTAAAAACGTTAAATTAAATTATTAAATTTTACTGAATTTTAAGCTCCCTTTTAATTTTAAGCTGACACGTACGCTTCCCATATTTGTAGATTATGGTATATAATCATCTCATATCCAACAAGCGCGAGTGGAATAATTGTTTTATTAAAAACGTTAAATTAAATTATTAAATTTTATTGAATTTTAAGCTCCCTTTTAATTTTAAGCTGACACGTACGCTTCCCATATTTGTAGATTATGGTATATTGGTTGATATACCATAATGGCTAAGCCAATAAAAAGTCTTGAATTGCATTATCCAATGACCTAGTTTTTTAATAAATATAATTATATCGTGAGAAACACCACATGGAAGACTTATACATCTTGTAACTGTTTTGATTTTGTTCGCAGATTCAAGAATCAGTCAGTAGGTTTGCTTTGTGATGTTCCTCCGTACTTTTTACTGCTTTTTCTACTTAGAGATGAGTTTAATTTTGACGCTAGCTTGCAATTCTCAGAAAGATGGATACGAAAGGTCAGTATAGAACAAGCAACAAGATAATTTGATATAAAATTGGAGAATTTCGAAAAAGGGTTTAGCCATATTTAAGTGATATACTGCTTATTGGGGTTCAAGAAAAACATCTATTCGAATGTTAACATTTATTGATAACAATAACTTTATCGATATTTTGAGTTGCGTTTTTGTGGTGGAAATTTATCTTCGACTCAAATATCAAATTCAGACGAACAAGTTTGTCTTCGTAGTCGGCATGAAACCAGTACAACGAGATTATCTTTGTAATAATCAAACAGCTGCAGCTGATGATGAGATGTTTATTTATTTATCTAATTAATTCAAGCGAGGCAGATGTATTTACCATGGTAGCTAACGGAACCATCCCACCAGTCAATGGAGCCCATAATGCCACGGGAATCTTAAAACAACTTTTCAGAGACTACGACAAAAGGCTGAGACCTGACTATGCAAGTAAGAGCCATTTGGCCCAAGGTCTCATAACGTTGTACCCATTTGATAAATTTCCATGCATTTTTGTCACAAACATTGTCTTTCTCTTTGAATTCATAAATTAAAATTCTGCCCCCTTACAATCTAGAATGTGGTTAACCATCCCTGCAATTTTTTGAATATTCTTGTCAAATGAACTTGGGACGCAAACTAACAACAAGGTCACAGTCCAGGGGTATGCCCATGACATTTGGTGGTTGCCAATTTTTTTGTTTTTGGACACGTTTCAAGCGTTTTCAAGCTCTTGGTTTGATAAACATTACAATTATAACACGCTTTTGCTTTACCAAGCCAAACAACCGCTGAGAACTCCCTTTAAGCAATTTGACAATTGACGTTTCGAGACATTTGCCATTTAAAACAGACATTTAAAACTTTAGACAACCATAACTTATGACTGAGACACGATTAGTCCATGTCTTTACTACGTATGGCATTATTTGTTTTAAATTTTCTTTCGTGGTTTATTTTATTATTTTTTGTTTTCTTTCCTTTCAGGAAGGGCAATTCCTATAACAGTGTCACTGGGAATTTTGTCCATTGGGAACATTCGTACTGAAGACATGGTGAGAATCAAGTTCCCTCCTTTCTTTAATACTCTATTATTAATACTGAATTATTATATTATTGATACTAAATTATTTAATAAATTAAGACCGGTGTCCGTTGTCAGATGTGACTCTAAACGCCCCAAAATGCACCTTGCGAAAACTTCAAAAAAATAGCATGGCTTATTGCTAACTCTTTGGTAAATACTTCTGACAATGGAGCATCGCTTTAAAAATACATTAGTCAGTGTGCGTATTGATAAAAACATTGCTTTTATGTTCTTTCCATAATAATTTCCAGGAATTTACGTTTGATGTGTACTTTAGACAGATATGGAAAGATACCAGGTTAGTATTTGGCAGTAGAGACATCGCCCTAACTCTACAGCAGGAGGCACTAAATGAAATTTGGCTACCAGATACTTACTTCGAAAATGCTGTGAAAACATTCGTGCATCAGGAAACACGCACCGTGGTACTCTATGGAGATGGTTTAATAATTTTCAGTCAGAGGTAGGCTATGGATGAGACTTAATAAAGGAGGTAAACAAAAAAAGTTTCTAAAGAAACTATGGTGCTGCGTCGGTTGGGGTATTACAAGATAATTTGGTTTTTTTCAACTGAATTGATCATGATTGTGAATATTTGACATCGCATTAGTGAGATAAGAACGTTTATTTTCCAACTACACTCCGTAGAGTACAAATAACGCCATATACCGAATGCAAATATGGCGTCCAATTTGAGTTGCTATTGTTCTGGACTCACTAGCCTCTCATACATGTAATAATCCTTTTGTGTTTCCACGTGAAGACGAGGCTAGTGAGTCCAAAACAATAGAAATTCAAATTGGACGCCATATTTGCATTCGGTGTATAGATGAGTACAAATATCACGCGGTATTTGTACTCCAGAGAACCGGTTAGACAGGTGTACTCGCCTCGCGCAAGCAAATAATTGGATTCAAGTTACGAAAAAAACAATCGCGGACAATTTTCATATTTCTGACGTGGAAGAGTTGGAATGGCGGAAAATATAGATCCAAATTTATTAGATATATTGAACGAATAAAAAAGCCAGACGACCAAGAAATTCTTCATTTATTGAAGAAAATAGAGCCAGCAACAGGACAACACGCCAAATATTCCGTTCCGCTTCGCATACTTCTGTCACGCACTCCCCGCAAATAAATATCTGCGAAATTCGCCCGCACTGAAATAAAAATTTAGAGTGTTGGATGATAAATAACTTATTATACGTTTTTTTGTGTAGTATCGCTGAGTATTTTTACGGAACAACTCGTAAAAATACTCATCGATTCTACACAACGAAACGTCTAACAAGATATATGAATTGGTCTTCATAAAAAGTTTCTTAGACTGAAGAAATGCTGACGTTCGTAACTTCAGCTTTAGAAACCTTTACGGTGGTAAGAAACATCAACTCAGTTGATAAAATCAAATTAATTACATGATTAAACGAGACTTACCTGTAAGTTGAAGTTTGATCGAGATTCTGTCTTGTCATCAGTCCGGAACGAAGGAGTCACATGAGATGCGCATGCGCATTTCTAGTCAGTCTTCAAAGTGATTGGTACAGGAACAAAGTGATTGGTAAAGGAACGAAGGAGGAAGGGAGGGAGGGAATAACGGCATGTGACTCCTTCGTTCCGAACTGATGACAAGACAGAATCTCGATCAAAATTCAACTTACAGGTAAGTCTCGTTTAATCATGTAATTCTATCTTGTCATCAGTCTACGTCACTACGAAGTCACATGAGATTTCAAAGTCCTGTAACACGAAACAGTACTACAAGTAAAAGGGTATTTTATTAAGGGTAATAAAAACCCAAACGGAACAAACCAAAAATATGAAATGCAACTAGCAGAGCACTTGGCACTTGGATTCAAAAGTACAGAGCCAAAGTTAGCTGAAGTATTGGACACTGGCTTATCATAGAACCTCGCAAAGGTACTCGCAGTTGACCAACCGGCAACCTTCATAATTTCAGCAATGTTCAAACCCCTAACCTTAACATTGGAAGTAGAGGCAGCCCTGCAGCTATGAGCAGAGTACTTAGT